CATATCTCAAGGCTATTTTTGCTGGATCGAGTATTCTTTTTTTTTTTTTTTTGGTGAGGAAGATTGGCCCAGAGGTAACATCTGTTTCCAGTCCTCTTTTTGCTTGAGGAAGATTGTTGCTGAGCTAACATCTGTGCCAATCTTCCTCTACTTTACGTATGGGACGCTTCCACAGAATGGCTTGATGAGCAGTGTGTAGGTCTGTGTCCAGGATCCAAACCTGTGAACGCTGGGCCGTGAAGCGGAGCACATGAACTTAACCACTACGCCACTGGGCCAGGCCCTGGATAGAGTATTCTTGGCTGAAAGTTTTTATCTTTCAGAATTTTGAATATATCATTCCACTCTCTCCTAGCCTGTAAAATTTCTGCTGGGAAATCCCCTGAAAGCCTGATAATGGTTCCTTTGTAAGTTATTTTCTTCTGCCTTGTTGTCCTTAATATTTTTTTTTTGTCATTGACTTTTGCTAGCTTTCCTACTATATGCCTTGGAGAAGGTTTTATATTGATATAGTTAGAAGTTCTGTTAGCTTCTTTCACTTGTATTTCCAGCTCCTTCCCCAGGTTTGGGAAGTTCTCAGCTACTATTTCTTTGAACAAGCTTTCTGCCCCATTCTCCTTCTCTTCTTCTTCTGGAATACCTGTAATCTTTATGTTGCATTTCCTAATTGAGTCAGATATTTCTCAGAGAATTTCTTCATTTCTTTTTAGTCTTAGTTCTCTCTCTTCCTCCGTCTGAAGCATTTCTATATTTCTTTCCTCCAAACTGCTGATTCTCTCCTCCATGATATCACTTCTGTTATTCAGGGAGTCCAGATTTTTCTTTATCTTGTCCATTGTGTTTTTCATCTCCAACATTTCTGATTGGTTTTCCTTTATAGTTTCAATCTCTTTTGTGAAGAAGTTCCTGATTTTATGGAACTCTCTATCTCTATTTTCTTGTAACTCATTGAGTATTTTTTATGATAGCTATTTTGAATTCTCTGTCATTTAGATTATAAATATCTGTGCCTTCAGGATTGATTTCTGGGTGCTTGTCATTTTCCTTCTGGTCTGGAGTATTAATATATTTTTTCATACTGTTTGATGGTGTGGATTAGTGCCTCCACGTGGTGATAGCATCTGGTCGCAGATTCCACCTGCCGCCACTCCTTCCACTTCCTCTGGGGGGTCCAGCACCTACCCCTTCAGACATATGGCTGTATGGGTCTCTCAGACGTCTTTTGTGTTTTGTGAGTGTCCTCTGTTGGTATATGAATGTCCTTTTTGTTGTATCTTGGGGGGAGAGTCTAAGGGAAGAGCTCACTCCGCCATGATGCTGATGTCACTCTTCTAAGCCTTTCTTTATTCAAATCATTAAATGAAAATAAAAATGTCCCTTTTCTAGATAACACACTTTGTGATTCACTTTTAACTAACCTACTGTCTGTGCAAGGATGATTTAGCAAATGATTGTTTTCTGGCCTGACAAACTGCCAGTAAGTTAAACTGGTGAGCAGTGTGACTGTGAAGTTGTTGGTACCTGCTCAGAGGGGTCATGGGTTGTGAGGAGTGCTGGCAAGAAGAAAGCAGATAATCAGAAACACATTTCTCCTCTGTACTGCTTCAGTAGTCTAGAGAGTGGTGAGTGAGCATCCCTAATTGAAATGCTCCTGGGCAGTTTCTTTCACAGCTATAAGTAGCCTTTGTTTAAAAACTCTCCAATCTATGTTTCCAAGCTTGGCCTCTGTGTTAGTTTGCTAGGACTGCCATAACAAAGTATCACAAACTAAGTGGCTTAAACAAAAAGAAATTTATTGTCTCATAGTTATGGAGGCAAAGATCAAGGTGTCAGGAATATTGGTTCCTCTGAGCCTGTGAGGGAGAATCTGTTCCATGCCTCTTCCCTAGCTTCTGGTGGTTTGCTGGCAGTCTTTGGCATTCCTTGTTTTATAGAAGCATCACCCTAATCTCTGCCTTCATCTTCACATAATGTTCTCCTTGTGTGCATATCTATGTCCAAATTTCCCCTTTTTCTAAGGACTCTAGTCATATTTCATTAGGTGCCTGCCCTACTCCAGTATGAGCTCATCTTAACAAATTACATTTGCAACGACCCTGTTTCCAAATAAGGTCATGTTCTGAGGCATTGGGGGTTAGGACTTCAACATGAGTTTTTGTGGGGGACACAGTTCAACCCATATCAGACTCTCTGCTGAGTTCTACACTGGTCCTTTTGGTTTCCTGCTGGACGGCAGGCTTCAGTGTCTAACTGATACCTCAAATTTAACGTGATCAGAATTGGTCTTACTCTCTCACAAGTCCCTTCTCTCTTTTGCCTTTTTTATTCTTTATCCTTTTGGTGATATTGTCATGCCACTCACTTATCCAACTTAGAAGTCTTGGGAATAACTTGGCCTCTGCTGTCCTTCAGCCTCTGACATCCAATTGCTACCAAGTTTTGTTATTCCTGTCTCAACTGTATTTCTCTAGCCTTCCCTCTGTTTTGAGTCCTCATGCTCCAGCTCTGGTTTAGACCTCTGCTGTCCCTAGCTGTCAGGCTGTCTCCCCACATCTCGTCTTTCCTCTGTTAAATTCATCTTCCATGCCAGTTCCTTTTCTAAAACAAAGATCTGAACCTGACATTTATTAACCCAAAAACCTTCAGTGACTTCTTCCTGCAAAAAAGTTAGGATCTATGACTTGGCTTTTAAGGTGCTCCATAGGTAGCTGGCATTACAGGTCAAGCCACTCTTTACCTCCTCATGACCTATTAGATAGAAGGTTGGTAATATGTCCTTCTCTGAACACAGCGCACCCCATTTGTCATCATCTCTGTACTTCGCTCTGTTCTTTCTTCAGTGTGGAATGACCTCTCTCTACCCTTCCTTCTTCTCTCCGTCTTCCCATGTCAGTTGGAATTCTATCTCAAATGGAAACCAGGACACCTGGCTTTTAGGCCAAAATGCCAGAAGCCAATTGTTTCACCTTACACAAATCATTAACTTCTTCCGCTTATCTCAAAAGTGAAATGAGGAGGTTGAAGTAGATGGTCTCTAAGATCTTTTCAACTTTAAAATTTGTTCTTTAAATGCTACACCTTCTTGAAGCATTCCCCAGTTTTTCTAGTCAGAATAAATCACCCCTCCTTTTGTGCTCCTTAGTGCTTTATTTCTTCTTTTTCTTTTGATGCTCAGCTCTTGCATTCTGTTGGGTGTACATGCACATGACTACCTCCCCTGCCCACAGCAGGTTGTAAACTCCTTGAGGCCAGCCAGGAATGTTTGACTCAAATTTGCTTCCCTTCCTATCCCTTCCTACCCCTAGTCTTGCTTACCCATAGATTCTCAGTGAGACAGACTGTAGAGTAGAGGATAAAATGTTCTGGGCAAATATTCTTCTGTAACACGTGCTGTTCCTGAATGTTTCCATGCATTCATAAGGATGTATTTTGAATTGTGAATGACATGTAGTGTATTGAACACACCATGAGTTTTTCCTTTCTTTGTGACATTATTATAATCAGGTGACATTCTGGGAAACAGCTAAGTTAACTCGGGAACACTTTGTATAAAAATGTGTTCTCTCTGAGGCCAGCCCTGTGGCGTAGTGGTTAAGTTCAACGGGCTCCGCTTCAGCGGCCCGGTTTCGCAGGTTCGGATCCCAGGTGCGGACCTACACCACTCGTCAGCCATGCTGTGGCAGAAGATTGGCACAGCTGTTAGCTCAGAGCAAATCTTCCTCAAGCTAAAAAAGAGGAAAATTGGCAACAGATGTTAGCTCAGGGTGAGTCTTCCTCAGCAAAAAAACAAAAAAAAAAAGTATTCTCTCTATAAAATATTTAGAAGTAATTAAGTGTTCAGTGAAACATAGGAAAACACTTCTGTTTTCTTCCTCCCTGTATATCCTCCAGTGACTTGGACTATCTCAATGTATCACTGGAATATTTGGATATTTAAATTTTGAAATACAAAATAGTGGCAAAGAACATTTCTAGGAAAGCTTTTGTGAATTTGTTTACTTCTTGGAAGTCAACAAGCATCTGTGGTCTGTCATGCTCTTCCTGAAGGATAGATTTGATCATGTCATGATCTTGCTCAAAAACTTTCAATCACTCCTTGCCCCCTAGAGAAGAATGACCAGAGTCTTTTCTTGTCTTTAGGCCCATCTCTGGTCCTATACTTCTAATCTCATTTCACAGTGTTCTCTTTTATGCAGTCTTCTGTCCAGACAAAATCAGTTCCTCTCCATTTTCCTCGTACACTCGCTAGCTTTCTTGCACCTGCCTTTCTGCAGGCATGTCCCCTGCCTGAAGTACTCTCCCTTCTACGCCCATTACCGCATACCTAAATTTCACTCACTTTTCAAGACACAGCTCCGTTCTATTTCTACTGCAAAGCCTTCTTTGATTTCTTACCAGAATTCTGTTATCCTGTTGCTCTCTGTCTTATGATTTGTCTCTTTTTGTGTACTGTTTCTAGACCAGAGTTATCTGCCTCGCCAGACTAGAAGTTCCTTGGGGTCACATTTCATGTTTGATTTATCTGTATTCCACGCCCCGCCCCACAATATCACCACTGGTTCAATCCACATGTGGTCAGTAGATACCAGTAATGAATGAATCTCTGTGAATCATTTTTTAATGGTGTATAAAGGTATTAATGAATGACAAAGCTGCTCTATTTTGCCATTACACAATCACATCTTAATCTAAAGCATCTAAACTTTAATTCTTGAATCTAACAATATGCCTGAAACAAAAATGATCCATTGGGTAAAACAGTTACATTTGAAATTATTATTCATTTAATGTGTCACCATATCCTCAAACCTGTCATGTCTTTTAGATTCTGTACATTATTATTTCAGTCGACTATATATGAAAGGAATGTTAAGTGTTTATGTAAGTGTTTTTGAGTTTTATTTTTTCTCATTTTGTTTTTTTCTTTAGTGTATATTTGTGTCTGCTTTTGTTTTCCACCAGCCACTGACTTTATGCTTTGTGTTCATTTTATGTTGCAGATTAATATCCTTTCAAGAATTTGTAGCATTTGAATCTGTGCTGTGTGCCCCGGATGCTTTGTTCATGGTGGCCTTTCAGCTGTTTGACAAAGCTGGCAAAGGAGAAGTTACTTTTGGTAAGGAGTGTGAATGTGTGTGCGCCTAAGTAAGCGCAGACTGTGTGAGCTTTTTTTTTCAGGAATGAAGTGTATGGAAATGCTTTTAAGAATTTAGCATATCCATTTAAACAAAGTTATCTCAGTGTTTTGGGGCTTCAGTTCAAACATCTTCCTATTTGAAAAAATAAGTTTTGATGTAGTAATTTTGAGTCTGATTTAGTTTTAAGGTGCGGGAGGACACGGCATGACTTTTTCACAAGAGTCGTAAAATGTGAGAGCAAGACAGGGCTTCTGTTCATTCCCTTCACAATCAGTAGTGCTTTCCACTGGGAGAATGAAGAAGTTAATAACCTGCCCAAGAACAGAAGGCACTCATGTACCCAGTACTTTGTGTCCTTACCTCGTCTTCGTGGAGTAGCTTGAGGCCAGGGGCACTGCACAAGATGGTAATTCAGAGTGGTACATGAAGAACCTTGTTCTTATAAACAGTACGTCCCCCCCCCCCCCCCCCCAGCCTGGGTTGGCAGTGCCTGCTATGCTGCTGCCGTCTTTATTTTGAAGAGCAGAACCATCTTCAGGGGGCTTAGCTGCAAAGCTGTAGAAAACCCTGAGGTTTTTTAAGTATTAGAAGAAAGGGAAGACCAGGAAGTGGTAAGGCAGTGGTAAGTTCTTTTTTAAAAATAAACTGGCTCCTGAAGATGGATTTGACAGAAAGTACCACGTTTCCCTTGGACCATGTGGTCTCCAGTACGTGTAGTCTGCGTATGTAAACCTGCTATAGAGAGCATTGTCCAAGAATTTAGGAGCCCTTTTGGGCATACAAATTGTGCATTCAGGGGAGATGGCAAATGTTTCCATTTTAAACGTCTTTATTTGTAGTTTCCAATTCATTCAGACCTCTTGGGCTTGTCTTATTTGATGGATTGTGAGAAATGTACAGATGGAGGGAAAATACAGATGGTGGAATAGAGCATCATCTATTCTGGAATAGTTCTGGAATGATTCTGGAATGGTTCTGGAATTGGAGGGACTTAGCTCCTTCCAGCTCTGCCACTTTTATCTCTGAGCCAAGTTAATTATCCTCTCAGGTCTTCATTTTCCTTATCAGAAGTGAAGATAACTACATAAAGTATAGGTAAGACAGTATGATAGATTTATTCTAGCAGACATCCCCCTCCCCCACCCATTCCTCCGTGTCCATTTGACATGACAGATATTTAAGGCTAGATCAGCCAGGGCAGAGGCAAAACACATGTATTTGCCTGGTTTGTTTCATATAATCTAGCAGCTCAGATGCTTTCCATTAACACTTCATGAGGATTATTTAATATTTAAAAATTCCTGGAATTAATTTTAGTTTTTTCCTTTTCCATCACCTAATTCCTCTTAGCATCACTATAACCACAACTTTTCAGTGGAACACCAATAAAAAATGTCCCCATTAAAATCGTTGAGTAATACATGAGCAGCTAGCTTGTGGTGGCGTTGATTTACCAGTGGAAGCCAGTTTGATGAAAACATTATGATAGCGTTTCCTTGGGATGAACAAAGAACACCCTGTAAGTTTGAGTGAGTTCAGCACAGGTGTGGTCTCTCTCGTCTTCCTCCTTTCTGCAGCAAGTCTGGAGGGAGGAATGGGAGAGAGCTGGCTTGGAGATGGGGGGACTGAGGAATGGACTTCACATGTTTTCCTTGACTCTGATCAGTCTTCCCACCACGGGCATGAGGTGGCAAGCGGTGTTGGCACCACCCACACCACTGGCCGGGTGGAGGAAAGAAACAAGAGACTTTGACCAGTGCAGGGAGCGGTGTGTGTTTTAGTGTGATTACAAGAAAAGAACAGGTGAAGAAGCAGGATGTAGGAGATGGGAGTCATCTGAACTGTAGAATGAAGAACAGTCGTGTGAGATTCTGTTTCTGCTGCTTACTAGCAGTTTGTTGATGGGCAAGTCATTTCCAACTTTCTGAGCCTTATTAACATCATCTTTAAAATCAGGATAACAACCTACCTTACAGGACCATGTAAGGATTAAAAGATCTGCATATAAAGGTGCTGTCTGGAAAACAAAGGCCTTTATAAAAATAATATTACTAAAAGAAAGAACTTGAGAGAACAAAGGAGGATTTTCTTTTTCTTCTTTTATTCTTATTCTTTGGGAAGCCCTTTATTTTTAAACTTGCAATTTAACCACTGGCCAGTTAGCCAGCAATTTGCTTACCATTTGTTCTTTGTTGAACAGTGGCCCATCTCTGAAGTCATAGAGACTGAAATAAGAAATTGAGGCTTCCACGGAGCTAAAATTATGGTTACGTCATCAGTTGTGTATGACTACTGTAAAAGAATGTGCAGCCCTTCCCCCAATACCCTGCCTTCCACGGGTAATTTGTTCCATGGTCTGCCTGTCTCACAAAATATGCCAGGGTATGTCCTGTATCCATTTATGATGAGCTGATGGAGTCCTCACTCTGTGGGTATCATAAAATGTAGCCTGGGCTTTTCTGAGCTGTTAATACCTGTTTAGGATTAAACTGAAAGAGATATGCACAGTACAAAGAAGATACCCAAATGACCATCAAATTGCAAAAATAATAGCTGACTTTTAACATTTTTCATAAGGTAGGGTAGATTTCGTCCAGTGGAGGTGGGTGCTGTGTATAACAGGCTTTTGTTCAAGTAAGCAAAATCATGTGAGGGACATGGCAGCCTAAGGAGTGTTTCGACAGCAGGTAAGTTTAGAAGAAGCTAGCGATAAGTATATTTTCCAGGAAACTCATAATGGGGTTGAAGAAATTTAAAAAAAAATGGAGTTGGGCAGAAAAGAGGACTTACCTAGTCAATCCTGGTCTCATAAACCTACAGTATTAAGAGAATTCCGACCTATGACCTGGCTGGCTGTTCATATGAGGCTGAGCTCTACACAATGGCACAGTTATCTCTGGTTACTTCCTTAGCTCCTTGCAAATCCTTCACTAAGAATGACCCTTTGTATTTCAGAAAGGTGTCTACCTGGGTGTGCATCTTTGGGAGGGGTAAGCATGGAGTGTGAGAGAGGAAGGAAGGGCTCCTTTTTTACCTCCCAGATTGGCTCAGTCAGTTGTGGTCATGGGGTGAGCCTGATCTTCACACTATACAGAGGTTCATCTGGGGCCCTCCCATGGGCTGCAGGGGAGGCTGGAGAGTGGCCTCAGATCCACCACGTCTCCCGGCTTTGCATTTCATCAAAGGAAAGCACTTACACTCTTTAGCTGTTTACATATTGGGTTTCCACATAAGAGCTTGTTTGAAGCAGGGCTTGTATGGCTAAGCTCGGTAAGCAGCGGTGTTTGTCAACAAGCCGGCAGTGTTCATGCTCCCGCTAACGCTGATTCCAATACACACTAAACAGAAATCGGACGGCGTGAGGGGCAGATAATCAAGTGTCACATTTCAGTGAAACTCAGCCCTGTTTTGTCTGAGGCCTTGTTTGTGTTTACCATATTTTCATGTCTAGATCACCCCCCGTGTTTGCTACAATGAAAAGATCTTGATTAGGCCAATTTTGTGCCTTTGATATCTAGTTCATTATGTCTCCTATTTCTTTTGAGGGAAAATGTATCTCCAATATTCTTGTTCTCACCGTGTTTTCTTATTTTGATACCTGATATTTATAAGTATATTTTGAGATATCAACAGGTGTATAACAGGATATCAGTATAAGTGGGAAATTCTGGTTAATAATTTGTGATTCTGTATGTGTAGAGAAAAAATATTTTGTTCTAAATATTTTCGTTTGCATTTTTAGCCTATTTTATATGATAGTGATTTTTTTTACTTTTACTTTTTAAAAGTATATTGAAGTATAGCATACATGCAGAAGATGCACAAATCTTAAGTATACATGGTGAATTTTTGCACAGTTTGTATTCTTGTTTTGTCACCATCCAGATCAGAAAGAGAATGATAGCAGCATTTCATGGGTCTTTTCTCAGTTACTGCCCCATAGTCCTAGTGGTAACAACTGACATCGGTCACCATGCATTGGTTTTGCCTTTTTGTAAACTTTTTTAATAAAAATGGAACAATATAGAATGTACTCTTTCATTCTGACTTCTTTTGCTTAAATTTTATTTGTGAGATGCATCCATGTTTTTGTTGTGTGTATATTTACTTTGTTCTTTTTCTTTTCTGTATAATATTCCATTGTGTGACTCTCTCCTAATTTATTTATTCATTCTGTTGTTGATAGATAGTTGCGTATTTCCAGTTTTGGCTGCTGCAAATAATGTGCTTTGAACATTCTTTTACATATTTTGGGGTGGGTTGGGGGGGCATGTGTGTAGGCGTTTCTAGGAGTAGAATTACTGGGTGATAGAAAATGTGTATATTTAGCTTCCGTGGATATTGCCAAACAGTTCTCCAAAGTGGTTGTAGCAGTTTACATTCACACCATCAGTATAAGAGAGTTCCAGTTATTCCACCTCTTTGTTACCACCTGGTATTATCAGTGACTTTTATTTTAGTGATATCTCAATGTGTAGCTTTAATTTGCATTTCCCTGATTGCTAATGGGTTGTGCAGCATTTTTCGTCCATCTTTTAAAGAGGAGAACATCCTAGGATATACAGGAAGTTCATGAAAAGTGTCAGACTCCTGCAGACAGAGGTGTTAATGTTCAAAATGGACTTGGAGGTGGGGTGGAGAGAGGAGGATTTGAGGTAGAGGAGACCATGTGAACAAAGGCTTAGAGTGGACGGGGCACGGTGGGCTATGGGTTCAGGGCCTCACAGGGAGTTCCTATGGCAGGAACTTAGGGAGGAGTACAAAATAAAATTGTAAAGGTAGATTGGAGTGCCACTGAAGATGACCTTGACTATCTGGAGAAAGAGATTAATTCTTTCAGGCATTCAATGAATACATTCATTTATCCAACAAATTAATTCAGCAGACATTTATTGAGCAACTGTTATATGCCAAGCCTGTTCTAATCACTTGAGATACATGAGTAAATAAAACAAAGATTTCCTCGCTCATGGAGCTT